AGATAAAGTTAGATAGAGAGAGAGAGAGAGAGAGAACCCCATTGCAGGCAGCCATTAGTGTCTATCCCCCTCTTTCTCTCTCTAAGACGTTGAACAACTGGAGCGCCCAAAACCCAACATCCCATTCTTCAAATCGAACTCCCAGTAAAAACTCTGCTGCATTATATTCCCTATCGTCGAAAAACCGGGCCAGGCCGCACCCTGTATCCCCAAACACTTGACGCCCTTTGCAACATCGATCACGTAACTCTCTCCCCTCGGCTCAAATCTCACCCCTCCCCCCAAATGCCATACCATCTTAGGAATCACAATCTCTCTTTCTCTCTCTACCTCACTACTGTTCCCTCTCTCACTGCTGCTACTATTGAAGCAAAAATCAAACGGCGATAGCTCAACTCTCCTAACGCCCGTTAGTTTCTCCTTGAATGCCGTTAAAACGGCCTCATAGGCCGGCTCAACTAACGCCGTTAGAGTCGTACCAGAGTCCAGTATAACGCCCCCCGATTGCGCCGTTAGGTTCATCATCCAGACGGAATCCGGTATCTCAACGAGTTTTCCGTCGAGGGAGATTCCTCTCACCTTAACGCCGTAAAACGGCTGCAACGCCTGGTCCAATATAAGCGGAGTCCGACGAAATTCCTTGGGAGAGAGAGACCGGTTTGCCCCTGGGGCATTTCCGAAAATAAGGAAACTCGTGTGGTTTTTTGGGGCAAGGTGGTCGACCAGACAGTAGGAGAACTTGCCGTCAAATCGACGTGATAACTGTACGGCGAAGCTGACGGCGCTCTGACCCAACCCTAAAACCCCGTCGGCCTCCTTAAAACTCCTGCCCTGAAACGCGTCGCTGCACCCTATCAGCAAATGACGGAGCCTCACGTTCCCGTCATGTCTTCCGTTGGGTTTGACGGCCGACAGGGTAACGGACTCGTTGGCGAAGAAGCCTCTGGCGAAGCTGCCGTCGACGTAGCGGTAGTCGTAACGGCAGGGAGTTGACGCCGTTGGGCACGCCGTCAAAGAAAACGGAAGAGTAGGACAAGAAGGAGCAGAGCAGAGGAGCGGGGAAAAGGAGGAAGAAGAAGAAGCTCTGAAAACCCTTGTCCCATTGATTCTAGGGCTAAAAACCCTGGTTTTCGGCCTGAAACGGCAATTCATCCACGTCAAATCGCTTCCTGTATCAGCGACGAGTAAGAGGTTTTGAGGCGGCGTACCAGCCCGAAATTTCACGAAATATTGGCCTGTTCCGGCGAAAGCCCCCGAAGAAATAGACATTGCAGCTCCAACTCCACCTCTGCTTCTTCCTCTGAGTGCTGAATGGATCATTTGCTTTCTGAGCTGGTCGTGATGAAGAAGCTCCCTCAGGTCGTCAAGTTTAGAGGGAGGGGCGCCATTAGTAGGGTTTCCTCTGAGTTCTCGGCCATGGCGATGGAGGAGATGGAGTTTGATGGATTCAGGCTCTGTTTCCGCTGGAATTTGGGCGGTTATGGCCGGAATTTGGCTGGAGATCGCCTGGAAAGTGAGGGAAAGAGCAATGTAGGTTATGAATAAGAAGAGGGAGCGCATCGATCTCGAGGAAGAGGAAGACATGAATGATTTTTTTTGGTTTTTGGGAGAGAGGGAAAGGGGAAACGGTTTTCGTTTCCGGGGTAGAGGGAGTTTATAAAGACGGAGGATTATAAAACGGAAGACGTTATCTCCTTTTGCTGTTGTTCGTTTATGAAAGGTGGCGTTTTAAATATGGAAGTAGAGATTTTATGACCAAATCAAAATCATATTGGGAGCCTTCACTGGTTCGGCTTAAATGACTGAAATACCCTTATATTTTTTTGTTTTTTGTTTTTTTTTTTGGGTAAATGTGTTTTACAGTTATTCCAGGCTGTGTAATGCTTACCATTATACACCGTCTTGTTTGGAGCACGGCACGTATATGCTTTACTCCTACTCCCTCTGTTACAAAAACTTTGAAATTTTGGGAACAAGTAAAGAATTATTGGATTTTTTTAAAAAAATAAAATTGAAGTTTGAGTTTTTTAACATTTCGACATTAGAAATTTTTTTCTAATTAATTGAAGTCAGCTACACGAATCCTGATTATCCATTCCGTTTTATTAAGAAGTATATCCTCAGTGAGACAATAAGTTTTCATATTTTTGCTCATTACTTCCAACTATGTTTTTTTGAACTTATTTTTTTCTTTTTTTGAGCCTTCTACTTGAACTAACTTACACCTCCTAATGCAATACTAAGTTTACTTTATGTGATCTTATTGTCTATCGGTGCCACACCTAAATTCTATCCAATGTATTAGTTTCGAATTCTATCTCTTCTTTTCTTGTCATTTATCCATATTAACAACATAATCTCAACTACACTCATTATATAGGTATGTGATTTCTTGACCGCCCAACATTCTTTTCCATTAAACAAAGTTGGTTTTATAATTGTTTATATAACTTGCCATTCAACTTCACAAGTATACGGTGATCACATGAATCTCCAGTTTCTAACACTTACACATCACCATCTAAAAATTAGATCGTCTCTACTCAATCTCAAACATTATCTGGAATTTTATTTTATTATTAAGACTAATCTATGGGGTTGCATCCGGTTCTAAAATTAATTCTGGGTAGAATTTTATCGGATGGAGTAAATAGACACACTACTCCCACATGGGTAAAAACTCTCCATCGCTATCAATCTACATCTTATGGATGGACCATTCATAGTGAGCAAAGTTGATGTGCTCGTCATTCCAAAAATTCCACCCTTTTTTTTATTGTTTGGGTCCTTATTTGTCCACCCATTGTACCGATCCATATCGGCCGAATCGACTGGCTCAAATCAACTTAATGAACCATCGGACACAATGAAAAATCAGGAAACGAAGGTTAAAGAGACAATTGTACATATTTACATGAAGGTTTTATCGTTGAAAATTTGAAACAAAGGAAACTTGTCCAAGAGCCCGTTGACTGTTCAACACCCATCTTTAAGATGGACGTTGTGTAAACGCATCTAAAAAGCACATTTTCAATTTTTTTTTTTTTTTTTCGTATTTATGATCGGCTTAGCTTAAATGATGAATTCCTAAAATTTTATATCAAAAATCTACTTTTAAGATGAATTTTAGAGGGACGCCACAAGTGTATATATGAGTCGGTTGGCTCATAGAACCCCATCTTTAAATAAAATGTGAGGTTTGTACCTAAACAATCACCTCAAAATCTTGTTGAAAGATACAGTTTCAAACTCTTGTGATGGCTTAAAAATCGGTTTTTCACCCCCATAATGAAATTATAAGCGTCATAAATGATGATGGCCTAAAAATACGTTTTTCACCCCTATAATGAAATTGTAAGCGTCATAAATGATATAGATCTAGCAAATCTATGAATATTTGAAAATCTTGACAATAGACAATATAGATAATGTGTTACGATGCTTATTATTTTTAACATTTGAAATTCATTTATTCTTTTATGTCCATACATATCAACAGATAGTTAATTGGAGGGTTTTCTAGTAATGAAATAATTTCTAATGTGCACCTTACTTGCACAGCATAAGGTTGACACATTATATAAACTTTTTTCTTAAATAAATCATCAAAAAGTGTTTTTCATACAACATGGTTCATAAATCATAAACTGGGGAAGAATCGAGAATCTTGATACCCTCTTGATCCCCGGTCTGGATCAACAATCCTTTTTTCTTTTGATCCAAAATTTTGGGACCCTGAACACTGCAAAATCCAATAACTAAATATGTGAATTCATGGAAATGAATGGAATCTGTTTATTTTATCGCTGATTCGCCAAAGGCTTTCAAACACTTTTTAACCTTTAATTAATTAGAGAAACGCTTTTATGCAATGAAAAGGGGGAACCATTTCATCAAAATATCAGGGTGTCGCAATCGGATCAGAATTTGGGTTCCCTTTTTAGCCTTGCTTACTTTTTCCAACTTACAACTCTCTCTCTCAAAAATTTATATAAGGTTGTAACTTTAAAATGTAGAACTTAGGTGCACATAAAAAAATTCATGTTGTTTTGATGTTAGAAAACCCTCTAATTGATCATTACGACATCGACATGTATAAATATGAAAATACAAAAAGATTTTAAGCATTAAAAATAACGTATCTTGCAACAAATTATCTAGACCGTCTATTTTCAAGATTTTCAAGTGTTTATAGATCTACTTGATTTGAACTATATTTGAAGTTTAAAATTTTATATTTAGAGTTGAAAATAGATTCTTAAGTTATCCAAAGAATTTTTGACACCAAAATTATATTTAAGATAAAATTTCGAGGTGCGTCTTAATTTGATTATTTAAGGTTACAACCTTATGCAAACCTTTAAGTATATATTCTTTTTGGTAGCTTTGGGAAAAAAAGGAGGAAAAATATCTCATTATAGTCAATTTCAATAAGACTTACTTGTTGTCATTTACCTTCCCATTATAGTCAATTTACCTGAAATTAGCCAATTAATCAATTTAAATAAGACTTACTAATGTCAAGTAAATTGACCACCTAATTCATATTACTTACCTTCAAATACACGCGATCTTGCACCGAAATCAAATGCTTAACCTGTCATTACCGCGTGGACTTTTCTATTTTGCACCTCATATGCATTCTTTGCCATTTTTGTACTTCGTTTTCTTTAATTATTCAGTTTCCTATGTTGTGGGCAGCTGGTTTAGGGCGTGGGCGTTTTCCAACTTCTAATTTTCTTTCTTTAAAAAAAGGGTGTGTTTTGTATATGGCTGGCGCCCTAAACAATCAAAGTAAGGCGTACTTCCAAATAGTGTTGAAAGATGTTTTTTAAGAACCAAAATTTTTCATGATAGCCTGAAAATTTACTGTCATCTCTAATTATAAGAATTTAAAGCGTAAAAAATAGTGTTGATCAAGTAGGTCTATGAACACTTTAAAATCTTGAAAATTTCCAGCCTAGATAATACATTACAAGATGCACTGTTTCCAAGACTTGAAGTCCATGTATCTCAAGGTCTAGATAATCGGATTTGAGGGCATTTCAGCATTGAAACAGCTTATTGGGGTGAATGTTTGAGGTGTTGTTATAATTTAACTGTTTAGAGTCTCAACCTTATATAAATTTTTTTCTTTTAAAAAAAGAAAAAGTTTAAACAATCAAATTAGAGCGCACCTAAAAAATTTTAGTAGAAGAGGTTGTTTTGATTCCCAAATATCCTTAAATTGATCATCTCGACATCAAAATGCATTTACATGAGGAAAAAAATAGATTTCAAGGTTTTCAAATAGTTCATCCTGTAATGCATCTTTGGATCATCAATTTTCAAGTTTTCAAAGATATGTTCGATCTACACTATTTTGAAGCTGTAAATTTTATAATTAGGGATGAAAATATATTTTAAAGCTATCATAGAGATTTCCAGTATTGAAACCACATTTCTCGATACTATTTGAAGGTGCACTCTACTTTGATTGTTTAGAGCCTCACCCTTAAAAAAACAATGCCTAACTTCTAACAAAATAAATCGAAACTCCGTAAATTTTTCATTCCCACCGAAAAGAACCGAGCCGTATCATGTAGTCCCAGATCTAATGCAATTTTTAAATAAATAAAATATTGGAAGCAAGCCCAATAATTGAATGCATAAAACAAATAGTTCGGCGTATAATTAATCCGAAAATGAAGTGGGCACATTTTCTTTGAACCTTTTGAACGGTCGTTGTATTAAAATTTAATGTTTAAAAAGGATAAACGGCTTCCAAAACGTGAAATCTATTTATATTCTTTTTTTATTGTTCCAAATTAGGCAGCAAATTGTGGCAGTTGGATCTCAAGCCCCCAATCATTGGTTTCATGCCAATGCACAGATCACAATCACATATATATTAAGAATGGTCATACCAACATGTCCTTGTATAGTATACTCCCGCGGGTGTACATTATTCGTGATCCATTAGCTAGATCTTAATCGTCTTCGAAAGAGAAAAGCATAGTTGGTCTTATATTGTACGAGTAAGGTACACCTAAAAAACTCACTAGAGAAGGTTGTTCTTATGCTTGGAAACCCTCAAATCGATCATCTCGACCTCGAGATTCATAGATATAAAAAAATAAGAATTTCTAGTCCTAAAATAGTTAATCTTCTAACACATTAGCTGCACCGTCCATGTTCAAAATTTTCAAAAGTTTATAGATTTGCTTGATCGTCACCATTTCTAGAACTTTAAACTTCATAATTGGGGGCAAGAATCGATTTTCATATCATCGCAAGGCTTTGCGGCGCCGAAACAATATATTAAACGTAGTTTTGAGGTGCACGCTCATTCAATAGTATAAGGTTGACACCTTCTACAAA